TTTTTTTCATTAATGGTCCTTAAAAGTACTTAATGTCCAGGTGAAGAAATGTGTACGAACCCTGGATGTATTGGTTTTTAACTGGGTCAGTTGATATAAACAAATGAATGTGTTATCAATGCTTTATTCCTTCCCCCCCCTTTGCTGATATAGCGGGTTTGATGTATCATTTTTGAGAAATTTTTTTTTGTTGGATTTTTTAGTGTTAAGACAGATATTTTGTATGGTTTAGAGAAATACTTTTACATCTAAATGGCAAAATAGAAATGGTATTTAATGTAAGAGTATATACGAATCATAAATAAGTCTTTTTCTCAACATCGATGATGATGATATTTGTGCAAAATTGGGAAGTGATAGTATAGCAATTTTAACATGAACATATTCATTTGAGGGAAGTTAGTGCTAGTTTTATAAGAGATTATTAACAATTTTTATTTTTATTAATGTGTTGGATTAAATGCAATCCACAATTTGATGTTTTTACAATATGTGTTTAAGTAAAAATTACATTGTACTCTAAAAATGATAAAATTTTTAAGAAGAATATAAGAATAGTTTCTAAATTCATTCTGATAACTACCTGAGTGTTCCTCTTATAATGCACCAAAAATTGGAACAATTGGACAACAAATTTATGTGAATTTTTCCCAAAGTTAGGCTTAGCGAAGCGAGTTGCCTGTCACTACAAGACAATGCATCCGGTCAGTGGGCCATTCCAAGAGAGTGATTATGTGATACAGCTGCCAATCATGAACTGGTTAAAGCAAAGTATTTGTTATTAGCATTATAAAAGGAAATTAACTTGTAATGAAAAGAAATAACTAGTGATATTTTGTGTTACATCCAATCTCTTAACATTTACTCAATAGATAGCATTTTTTCTTTTGTCCTCTGTGTCCATTAAGGGAAATAACTGTGTCCATTAAGGGAATAAACTCCAATGAAATGCTGAAGCATGATGATACACTGCAATATTCAAAGTTGCTATGGAGTCTAATTCATTCCATCAATAGTTTTTGTTGCTCATGATGTGTACGTGTGATTCTCATCATTGTATTTTCTGTGTTTCCAGACAATCTGAACACTTCATTTCTATCATGCAAGTTATTGGTAAAGTAGTCCCCCCCTCGTATTCTTGGTGTTGTGTTTTAATGGCTAACAGATTAGTATGTATCTGGTTTCAGCCTAGGATTTGCAACCATGCTTAGTGTCATTAGACTTCAGAAGAAAAGCTGTATTTTATATTTGAGATATATATGATATTAAATGCGTATGCAATAGGCAAGCTAAGCTACCAGCTGTCCAATAAGAACCAGGAGACACCTGATGTGTCATTTTACTCTCCATGCCTTGCAGTTAGTAATTTATCTGAATTTAGATTATCCCTTTCAGAAGAATTATTGTGCTGATTTGCCATGTCTTCTGATTTAGGTGATCCGATTTTCAACTGCATTTTCAAAAACCCGATTTGCAGCATATTTCATGTGATTGGTTCAGTTTTATTTCATTATTTTTGCATATTAATGTTATTTCCAGCATCTAAAATCGTTTGCATTTTCTGACTACCTGTTTTTAAAAAAATAAAAAAATGTTAATATCATGCAGGTATGTAGATGTGTGCAGATCAGCATAAATTTTTCTGGTTACAAAATTCCTAAGAAATACTCAATTGCTCAGACAAAATTGACTGTTTGGTATAGAAGTAGATGTGAAAAATAAATCTTGGTTGGCAGTAAAATAACACATTTTTACCCTTTTATATATGGAAGCAATAATACCACTTCAAAATTACATCCATTTGTTACTTTCTTGTTTGTATAGTTTTAGAAATTTACTGCTCATCCTTACTTTAGAAGATATGTGGAGGAAACAGATGCCTCATGGGATCACCTTTGTGAGCACGAGATCACTACCTCTCTGTATAGCCTTTTGGGAGGTTGCAGCTTAAGGTGAAGTGCTGTTACAAGCCTTTTTTTTTCTCTCTAGCTTCTCATGGAGAGAAAACTGCCTTTGCGTTTGCTGTGTGTGGAGAATCGCAAAACTTTAAAGGAAGATCTTGATAGTTGGAAGTGGGAGGTACTATACCTAACTTGGTGCTTTGTCCTCTACCTAATATAGATATGGGTGGTATTTGTCTGGTGTTGCTAGTGTTAATTGGTTCATTATTTCTTAGTGTCAGTTGCTTGTTGATAAACTGAGAGTTTCTGCTTCTAGGAAAGCTTTAGTGAGCACATTGCCTTTGCTAACTGTGGCACTAGATCTGTATTGCCTTGTTGGTGGGTCTGCTCGACAGGTCCGACTTTTTTGTATCTTCTCATTATGTATCCTAAAACTAATTTCAAAACTAAGCAGACTGAGATACTAAGAGTAGGACTAGTAGAAAGTGTACTGAACCAGTCTCCTCTGTCTTTCCCCCCCCCAAAATAAGTCCATCAGTTGATTTGAAAAAAAAAAAAAAAATGTGATTGTTCTGTGTTTAACCCTTTCATGTCAACTTTTTTATTTATAATTTTTTTTAATTAAATAATAAATGACAACACAAGTGTGCAAGAACAATTTTCTTTACTTTTTGGATTTTACATTTTCAAAAAATTCGTGTGGGACATAAATGTCCCACCATCAGTTTCTGGTTTGATATTTTGTATGATCACTGCTTGAGCTTTCCATATTCTCCTGAAGAAAGTTACTTTCATCCATATTGGATTCTGAAGTCATATGTGGTGGAAGGAGCATATTTGGAACCGCTATCTTGAAATGTATCTACATCATATTCAGACTCATCCCAAAAATGATCAGCAATCTTTTATAGTTCTCTGTTGTCTGGCTTCCTCTTTTTGAAAATAAATGTATACATATGCATATTTTTGAGCACACAAACAACAAAAACCATCTGTGGCGCATTTATCCCCAATAAGAATTCAAGAGGGACATATATGTCCCAGGTTGAAATTTTTTCAGAAGAAAAGAGAATCAAAATATATTAGCAGTTTCATAAAAGTAAGTTGCACTTTCAGCCGCTGTTTTACAGTAAGGAAAGCATCAAAAAACAATAGAGACTCGCAGGTATATGTTAGGACACATTTGCTTTGTTGCTGGATGTAGACCGAGTCAAAGAGCAGGCTGAAATTGGCCAGAAACCTTTAGTCAAAGTCCAGTACTTGAGTGGGATGTAGACTTGCACTCTGTTATAAATGTACATCCCTTTTGAATTTTATTTTACCTTGGGATATATATATATAACCCATTAGACGCGAAAGGGTTAAAAGTATATACGGACTTGTATGGAAGAACCTGAACAAGTAAAAAAAACCTTGTTCAGTTGACCTGATTTGGAAACAATGATTTCTAAAGCCCTCTTACCTTAAAATGATATGGTTCCATTACAGTTTTTGGACTTAAATCCTCAATTTCTCACTTGGGGATCAGAACTTGCTTTTCTGTATGTTACAAAGGATGAAATACCAACCAAATTGTCAGATCTGAATGTATTGCTGTCCATTGAATCAAATGCAAAAAGTCAGCTGATGAACAACAAAACAAATCATCCTGACCTTCAACTCATTCTGATCTGCCAAAAAGCATAAAAGTGGGTACTTGTTTCATTAGACCATATATTCCGAACCCAGTGTCCCACCATTTTGGCCATACCAAAAGACCGTGTTGTGGCATCTCATGTGGTTGGCCATGGTAGTGAAAATTACAGTGATAAACCACTGTGGGTAAGCTGCAATTGAAATCGAACAGTTTTTTTCAAGATCCTTATGAAACTGGATATGCAAGAGCTAGAAAAATAATAAGTAATACCCAACTGCAACACAACATGAGCTATATGATTATTACCAAACCATTACTAGGTCAACAGTCACCTACACCTCTGTATGTGCGTAAAAAAAGGGGGGATGTACCAATGTAAATTCTATAAAGAAAGAAAATGTACAGAATAATAAACAAAAAGGATGCTAAATAGAAACTGCCACCTAAATAGAAAACTTCATGGAAATGTCACACCTTTCGCCAAAATCTCATTACTATCAAGGATGTGAATGATGTGTATTACCTTTCGTGCTGAACAGTACAGACAACTTCTAAAACCTGAATAGCAAGCAAAGCTTAGGAGATAGTCCTTCACTAGAAAAGATAACCCAGTAGGTGAACATGTCAATGGAAGTAGTCTTCTCCCACTTGGACTGTCCATGAAACGCATCTGACTGCATACCTCCAAGCTGTTGTTAAGCAGACTAATTTTCATATTTTGGTTCCAAATGGTTAGCTCTTATTTGCATCTAAAGGATTTAATTGATCAGCAAGATTTGTTTTATTGTGCAATAGTTTTGAATATTGAAATCAGTATGGATGGCGTATTATCTATGTGCCCATACATGAAAAAATTTTGAAACTGCAGGGTTAATATTCATGCCATATTTTTATAGCTGGTTTACTATAGGCAATACTTATTCCTGTAGTGCTTCTTTATGCAGATCATTTATGTAGGTAGAAATCGCCAAATACAACTAAACTATCACCATCTTGTTATTTTCAGATGAAGCCATATTATTGGAGGACACTGTGTATTCTCATTAACATGCTTTTAATGCAATTATGGAATTATATCTTATTTAATTTTTTGCATAAGTTTCAAATGATTTATGCATTTGAAATGCATATAAATTGGAAACTCAATTTCAGGGAATCAAAGAAGAAAATTTTAAGTCTTCTGAAATGGACGAATTGGAATTCAAATTTGATGAAGAATTGAATAATGAAACTTTTGATAAAAGAGATGGTGATCCGGCTGCAGAGTATGTATTTTGATGTCTCTGTTGTGTATTTTTTTAATTGTTTTATAATTTGCACTTTTAATGCTTGATGTGCTGTATAAATTTTCTTACTTGAAATCTTTAATGTGGTAGCATCCCAATATATTATCAGTTATAATTTTTTTTTAGCCCTAAAATTATGGGGAGTGGAGGCACAATACACTTCACTCATAAAAGGTTAACGTATTTCAATTATTATGAAATCCCACCAAACATGAAAGTTAGCAGAGATGTCACCAATCGTTTCAGTGGAAGTTTAAATGAACAGAACTATTTAATTAGATAATAAATAAACACAAATTATGAATATAGCATAAAATAACATAAATTGCTTAACATAATTTTTCGTGTTACATTGCCATTTTTTCCACTTTCTAGGTCGCATATTGTGGCTTTTTTAATGCCTAGATACAGTAACTTCAAAATTACTCCATCCACTTTTGTGTAGTCCGAAATATAATTTTTTTTTTTTTTTCAAAATGCAAGGGAAAAATAATTGGAACTTTTTATGGTTGTGTTGTGATGTCATGCTTATCCATTATTGGTGCTAAATCACATTGTTTGGTGGCAATGTATATGTCTTAATAGCATTGCAAGCTCTATAATGGCATTGCAAATCTCTCACTCACTGAAATTTTCAGGGTAATTTTAATGTTTCAGCCTTGCAGAAATGCTGTACCAGTATCGTTTTTTTCTAAGGGATGTGACAAAGGGATATAGAGAAAGAAAGAAAAAAAACAAGCTCACCTGACTTGAATCCAATAGAGCATTTGTGGGATATGCTAGGCTGATGAATTGCAGCCCATCAAGTATGTCCTACATGTATACTGGAACTTTCGGAGAGCATTGCTTGCTGAGTGGAGAAATCTTCACCAAAATCAGCTTGATAGTTTGATACTGAGCATGCCTAGACGTAGTACGGACTGTATTACATCGTCTGGGAGGCATACCAACCATATAATGTTAAGTTTTTATAAGGGAGATATTTTTTGCAATTACTTCTGGTAGCAAAAAGCGTAGTTTTCATGAATGGTATCATACATAAATCATCTTCTTTGTTCTTTATCTTTTGCATAATATGGGCTTTATGAATAAGTCTCATAGGTTTCGTTTCTCAACTTTTATTTGCTAGAACTGCTTTATCCTTTAATTTATGTACATGAGTGTAGTTGAATGTATAATAATATTTTATTTATTAAATAATGTATTTTTTATTTTGAGTCTGTATCTAGCTTTATATTTGAATTAATCTTGCAAGTTTCATTCATCTGTTCTTCACAGTATTAAAACTCAATCATTGTATTGTTTAAGTTGCTTTTGTAATTTATTTCTGTTTTGAAACAAGTTGAAATATACAGGGTGTTTCTGAATTCAAAAGCAGCAACATGTTCAAAGGGTTGATAGTAGGTATCAAGAGAATGAAAAATTGCCATATAACACGGGCTAGCAAATCACATTTAGTGTTAGAAAATCGCAAAAATAATTGTGAAGGGCTTGATGTCGAATGGAACAAAAGTGGCTAATGATAAGTAGAAAAACATTTATTTAACATAAGGCAGGACTACAGTACATCCCAGTGCACCATCAGAAAGCGGACGATAGACAGTTTAATAGAAATTGTTTGAAATTGCACCTGTGAGGTTCATTGCATAGCTGATGCTGACAGACAGTGGATTGCCAGATACATTCAAACATACCTGTTATACTGGTGATGTCTGCTGAAGCAAAGAGAGCTGTGCTGTCAGATCCTCCTGTGTATCTGCAGGCATCAGATAAACAATTGATTTCAGGTGGCCCCAGAAGAAAAAACCTAACAGATTGAGGTCTGGGTAGCATGAAAGCCAAGCAATAGATCCACTATGTAGCATATATAGCGGAATATGTAGCATTAGCATGTAGGTGGTTATGCAACACAATCACAAAACTGACTGGTGCATCATCATGTACAAAACACATGTTTTAGAGCACAGTTGCCGGTATTCTCTGCATCAGATTCAGAAGGATGTGCTGTAGAGAAATAATGTAATTTGCACCATTGAGGTGTCTGGGCAGAAGGTACACAGTCCCAACAGATGATCTCCAAGAATCCCTGCCCAGATGATAATTACAAACTTTTGACGAGACAGTGCTGTGGGCATTTTCGGATGAACCATATCCACATTGTGCATGTTGACCACACCTTTTCTAATAAAGTAGGCTTCAACCGAGAATAAAACAGGTGGGAAACTGGGAACCATTCTGTTTGGCATCAATTGTATGAACTCTACCCAAAGAGAATAGTTGGGATCACCTGGGAGTTGAACCTTTTGCATGTAGAAGGGGTACGTTTTCTGCTGGCAGAACCTTCCACATCATTTTATGACAAAGACTCAGTTTAGCTGGAACAGATTGTGTACTGCTCGACGGGGAAATGGCAAATCATTGCAATACTCGGTTTTCTGTTTCAAATGTGCGCACACTGCATTCTTGCCCTGCATTTATGTCTTATTGTTTGGAAGGTGTAGCCATTCATCAATGTTTGTGAAGGTAGTATGGTGCAAGCAATGCCTCCTTGGATATTGCTCTTGGCACCACATCCTCTGTGCTAGTCATCTATTGTCGCTTGCTGAGCGATAAATCTGATGCATGTCTGCATGTACTGTTTTTACTTCCCCCATATGCATAGGTAATGTCTGTATGAGAATATTTCTTCTCAACTGCTGCTTTTGTTTTCCCCGTATGCATTAGAAATTTGCATATTAAAAGGTTTCCTCTTCTCGAAGCAGTGCTCCTTACCCTCACATTTCTCTGGCCACTCTCTTTGTCAGGCTTATTGTCCTCTCAATGTCTATTTTTTGAATTTTTATCCACTAAATGTTTTAGAGCACAGTTGTAACCTGTATGTTCTGTGGTAATTTTTCCCACTTTTGATGCCTATCATCCCTCTGAATTTGTTGGTTGAATTCAAAAACACACTGTATATAACAAGTGTTTGGGCACTTTACGGCTTCTTCATGGTACAAGTTGTTAATTTCATCATCCAATCTGTTCAAACTGTATGAAAAGTAGATCAGTGAATTCTTTTTGCCTCATTCAGTTTCAGTAAGTTCTATTCAAAAAGTGTAACACTTACGTTTTTAATACATTGCAATAGAAATGGTTATAAACAGTGTGGAATAACCTTAAAGTCCATAAACCTTCTAAATAATCTGATAGTTTTGTAAGAAATATGATATTCAGTGTAAAAAGTTATCAATTTTTGTTTGATATAAAGTGTTCATTTCAGGTCCAAGAAATCTAATTATGAACTAAGTGACCAAGATGTCAACAAACTCATTATTGTAACACAGAGTGCTGGGAATCGTAAACACGATCGTGGAAATAAACCAAACTGGACTCCATATGTTATGAGCCAAGAAATGGCATCTACTATAAACGATGGTCTGCATTATTATGAACAAGATCTGATGGGCAGATATCAGTCTGATGTAAGTTATATTCTTCTGTATAATATTTTGTTTGTAGTTAGTTTTTCTTTTTAACTTTAATTGAAACACATCTTAATCTCCTTCAGTATTATGTAAATAAGGTTTGTACAATTGTTAAAAGCCCTTGGTTTTTTTCTGAAGCAATTTTTGGTATTTAAAAGTCTATAATTTTAGCCAAAACCAGTAAAAATGTCTGATATAAGGTTGGACTCATCTGATATTTGTTTTTTATGGCTGCTGTGTGAATTTACATTTTAAAGGAATATTTTTAGGTAATTTGATTGACGAATATGCATTTGATCGGTTGTCATTTATACTACTTCTAATGTAAATAGTGACACACCCAAGTTTTTAGGCACAAGGCCCTATTTTGATTGAAACATTAACATTTCAAAATTTCTTTTTTTCTAATGAAGTGTCCATAAAATATAGCATCAAAAACAGCTTTTTCCATTTTAAATTTAATAAAAATAATTTTTTATGTGATACTAAATTTGATAACTTATCAACAGATAGTTGTGAGATAAATTTGTGTTCAAAATTTTTGATTTGAAGATTTGCGATTTTTTTTTTTTTTTTACAAATGTAATGCAGTTGAGAATATAATTAAAATAAAAAAGATAATGTATTAAAAAATATATTTAATAAAAATAAAATTAAGAGATTATATTTTACTCGTCGATCTAAAAATTTGCTACTTTATTTCGGCTACGTGAATACTGATTCGAAAAATGAAAAACAAAGGGTAATGGGATGCTATGAAAAACACGTTATAACAAATGCAAAAAAAGCTATTGTAATTATTTTTTAATAAATTTCGTTCATCATATTTTATATTTTTTCTTGATATTTTTTTTAATTCTTGTGTACTTGTTTCAGAATATTCAAATGTGTATCAGTTTTTTTTTCCTTTAAAAATATCACTTTATAATTTTCTTTTCTCTTTTTTCCTCCCCAAAAATCTTCTGCCATTTTGCTCTTACAGAGTTGATGGGTTTTTTTTTTTTTTCCCCGAATTTTAGAACTTGCACCTCAGAAAATTTAGAGATTTGAAAGCAAGCCTCACAGTTCCAGAAAAAATGTGACAAAATGCAAAATGTCTTCATGGTACTAACACATGATGTGATGGACATGTTTTACTGGAAGTTTTGGTTGAATTTTTTTTTGGGGGGGGGGAAGAACAGTGAAAGTAAATTTTTTGCTTTTCATCTAAGAAGACTTTCTCTTATCTTCCCTATGTTTTCTCTTTTCACTGAACACAAGCCTGGAAAGTTGCAAAAATGGCTCTAATCTTGTCATGTGAACAAGCGTGTATAAAAAGGAATTTTTGTGTAAATAAAAAAATTAAAAAGTGACAATTCAAAAGAATCATCCGGAGGATCATATGGTTCCGGAGGTGGGGATTTTTAGTACTCATTATTTTCATGGGACAAATTCATAAAGACACACAAGACGATTGTTGGTCATCTAATCCCTTTCCAAATACAGCATATTTTTCAAAAACAATATCAAGGATAGGTTTCGGCAAATATCGATGGCATTTCAATAACCATAAAGACGTCACACACAAATCAGATCGATTATTCAAATCTTTGCCTACACTAAATTATTTGTTTGAAAAATATGTAACATTTATAAACCAAAGCTACAAGAATCATTAGCTGAAGGCATAAGTACTACAAGAGGATAATTATTTTCTCGAAGCAGTGCTCGAGTTTACATTACCTGAAAAACTTGTAAAATACATCATACTCGTAAGAATATCATCTTAAACAACACGGATTATATTTGCAATTTTCCTGTTTATCCAACTCAAGGATTACAGTTGATCGAAATAATATACACAGTAGTTTTGCGATATACTGACATCTGGCACCATTTGTATATGGATAATTTCTGCGTTAGCATTGGTAACACAGAAGCTCTTTTACAAAAAAAGAGTACAGTTTGTAGAACCATCAGGTAAAACAGAGGTGTACCAGAGTGTCTGAATGGCAATCAAAGAAAGAAGCAAGTCTCATCTCTTTAATCCATTTGGCAAATATGAAGGAAAACCATCATGTTGAGCATGCAAGAAAACAAAAAATTAAAAAGCAAATAATTTGATCAACTAGTACGTGAAAGGAGTAGATCAAGCTAATCAGTATTTGTGATACTATAGTATTTTGCATGAAACAGTAAAGTGGGGAAAGCAATTAGCTATGTACGAGGGCTGTCTGAAAAGTTTCCGACCTAACAAAGAAAATATATATTTGTTTTCCAAAATTACCTTTATTTTTTTACATAAGTCTACACATTTCTTAAGCAATTCTTCCATTCTTTCAACCCAACCAAATAATACGTGGAATTCTTCTCTGTAGAGTCTGGTCATTTGACGAAATTTTGTTTCCTCCAAGTGCGTCTTTTAGCTTAGGGAACAAAAAAAAAAAACGTCATTTGGTGCCAGGTCTGGCGAATAGGGTGGGTGGTCAAGCAGTTCAAATAGTAATTTCATGGATTTTTGCTATTGCAACCGCTGACGTGCGAGATGCAGCATTGTCTTGGTGAAACTAAATTTTTTTTTTCTTTTGCAAATGTGGCCGTTTTCCCGTAATTTATACCTTCAACTTGTTAAGTAATGTTACATAGCATGGCCCGGTAATGTTTTCCCCTTTTCAAGAAAATCCCCAGCAGAAAGAACAGTTTTTGCCATTTTCAGAGCTGATTCTTTCTTTGCAGTTCACTGTTTTGACTGTGCATTTGTTTCTGGGCTGTAATGATGAATCCAGTTTTCATCTACGGTGATTAATAGTCGAAAAAACTCCGATTTATAGCACCAACAGAACGGTGCAAATGTTCATTTGGACATGTTTTCAGTCCAAAATGAGCAAATACGGCACCCAGTGTGCAGCCAGCTTGTGCATACCAAAATCTTGGTTCAATATGTGGCAAACTCATTCTTTGGACATGCTAATAGCCTCTGCTATCTCTCTAACCTTGATTCGATAATTGTCTATCACCATTTGGTGGAGTTTAGCGATGTTTTTATCACTGGCTGCAGTTTTTGGCCCTTCTGAACTTCATTGTCATCCAAGCTGAAATGGACACTTTTAATTTCAGCTGCCCAAAATTTCACAGTAGTAAATGACGGTGCAGAGTCCCCGTTCACTGTTTTCAAGTTCAACTTCTCTTTAATCTGCGTAGGCATGTTACCTTTCAAAAACAGATATGTAGCAACAGCATAATACTCAATTTTTTTTTTTTTTCCATTTTGCTATTCTGTATTTTATTAACATAATTGTAAGGCGTATATTTAAATGTAAAATTAAAAAAGGGTTTTGTTCAGAAAAAAAGTAGACAACAATTTATTGCAATTTTACTGAATGGTCAGACTCTCAAAAAAATCACAAGAAAACTCTCTGTACATTATCAGTCTGTGGCGAAATGTATCTGCATGCTGTGTGTTTAAAGAAAATTAGCAGCTTCTTCTATATGTTTCTAAGTACATAGTTTTTTTTAACAATAAAAACCTTTAATTTTTAAAATGGAGAGACTTATTAAGGAAGAAATTGATTACATAAAGGGAAGGGAATTTTTCTTCAAAGGTATGTTGAAACATTAAAGTTGGTGATCAAGCAGAGATTAGTAGGAGCACTGATTTGTGTACTGATATGAGTAAACTTAGAAAAGATGCTAAGTAGAAGGAAATTAATATAAATTAGCTAAAATATCTGAACATTTTTCAAATTTAAGAGACGATGCTTTGTGTGTTGTTGCTGCAAAAAAAGTGTTTTGTAGCTTTTATTACATAATTTTCCTATGTTTTAAAAACCAGTGTCCTAAATTATATGTGATTACTTATTGTATTAAACCATAAAATGTTTTTAGATTGCAATTTAAATTGTGCTTTTTTTAATTATTATTTTTAATAAAAAATGTTTGATAGGAATCATTTAAATATAAGAACCCAAGGGTATCTATCTAATTAAATATTGAATTATATATAACCCATTATTCCCCCTTAGAAATTGTCTCTACATCCTAATGTTATTGCCTTTCCCTAATCCCTACTGTGGAAGCAAGATACAACAGTAAATGTAAATATTAACATAAAACTTGATCCCTTACAATGAGGGAGACTTAAATTATGCAAAACCACTTATCACCTCTAATGCATCACCGACTTATTGGAACTTTACAGTGCACTATAAATCCTTGCCAAGGGCTGATTTATGGAATGTGATCTTGCATATATGTGTTATCTTAGTTGTTTCCATTTAATTTGTCCAACACTAGAATTTCATTCAAGCATAGTTGAATGTTCATTCATCAAAACTGTATGCCTGCTGGCATAAGCTCTGGCTAGAAGTTGTCAAGAATTTTAAAGGATTTCCATCGATTAAAAATGAAGTAAAAGAAAATATACAAATTGTAAAAAAAAGGGGGTGTTACAAAAGAGAAGGTGGTGAAGAATTTTCAGATATAGAAGAGGAGGGAAAAATTCATCAACTGTCATTCACTAACTGAAAGCTCATCAGTTCTAATGACAGTAAATTAGAGCCATTTTTTTTTTTTTATTTTGGCATGATTAAATGGGAAGATTAAACTTGTTTCTAGAACATTTTATGTATGCTTTAAAGTTGACAAATTGTTTTGGGCAATAAATGTGAGAGAGATTGGAAACATTTTCTACACTTGTGTATTCCTTTCTCTTACAGTAATTCTTGAAAGATTTGTGGCTTTTAAATGAAAAGAAATATTTTGGTGCAAATTAATAAAAGCATGGTTTTATATTATTTTTATATTTTAGCTATCTTGCTTATATATTTGTTGTGTGCATTCGGAAGTTAATCTACAATTAGTAAATAAAAAATAATGAATGAAGACTTGGATGATCTTATAACCCCAGCTGATGGTGAAAGCACTCATAATTAAAGTAAATCACCTTTACATTACAAGAAATTGAACGAATTTTTAAAAAATGTACAGGAAATGTTTTAAAAAATGACTGATTTCGTAAT